CTCCCTCAAACCTCAGTCCTTTCGTTCAGGCAGCTAGAGCAAATTCAAATGTTAATAGCAGGTTCTTGCAAAGCGAATTTGATTAATGAAATCACAAAATGAGAATGACGAAAAGAATCAGAAGATAATGGGTAATTCAGATTTTCAACGAGGGTTTAATGAAAAGTATGAATCGTCAATTGTTACGTATGGAAAAGAGAGAATATTTGGTAAAGATGAGAAGACGATTGGAGAAAACGGACGGTTTGTTTCATTGTTCTACTTCTCTGCAGATTTTTTCTTTTAAAAGAGAGTTTGAGGGGTTTTGGATTGGAGCTTTTGGGCCTTTTTGAAAAAAAAAAATTAGAGGCCCTTAAAAATATGAGGCCCAAGGCAGTGGCCTTGTTTGCCTTGGGCCAGGGCCGGCCCTGACGGTTACTTTGCACCAGAGTACGAAAGACAAGGTGAATCGTCGCTAAAATCGGATGTACACAATTTTGCAGTCATCTTACTAGAGCTTATCACAGGACGCTGAGCCTTTGAAAATGCAAGACCAATTGACGAGCAAAATTTAGTTACTTGGGTATGCACACTCGATCATGATTTGCTTATTTTATGTTAGTCGCCAAGCTTTATCAAATCATACACAAAAAGCAAGTTTCAATGACCACTTTGGGGGGAAAAAAACAGCCCAATTTTCCATGTGAATGTGTAACGGATTCGGCAATTTGCACATGATTGAAAAGGCACAATCTTTTTTTAGAGACCCAGAGAGATTTCCAGAAATGGTAGATCCACGTCTCAATCTGGAATTTCCAGTGACAAGCTTAAATCAAGCGGTCGGAGTTGCAGCCATGTGTCTTCAGGAGGATCCATCGGTCCGTCCCTTTATAGGCGATGTTGTAGCCGGTCTTAGTTTCTTAGCAATGGCTCCACCTGGTGGCGCCCTTCCTAAGCTTCTTTCAGCGCGTACCCCATCTCCAAGCTCAGAAACATCAAGTGAACACACCGAAGATTTTAATCGACA